TCGTGCAGTGTTAGCCCTGCCTGGCGCACTGAGAAACGGGTCGAGATTTTGTTAAAGTGTGCGTGCGTCGACGCATAGATACTATGGCGCACACATATAAGCCGCGCGCGGAGCATTTGTATGAAGATAACCTACTTTGTTCTTTATACTATGCCGCAACCTATTGTTCTTTAATTGTGTCTATAATGACGGTACTCAGAGTTAACTCGTCATTCATTTAGTTCAGACTTGGGGGTATGGAGAAAGAACATAAGTACCTAATTGACGCAGGCAAAACTGCCTGTTAAAACAAGTTTATTTTATCTTATCTTATACTACCTAAAGCGGAAGAGTTTGTTTGTTTGAACGCGCTAATCTCCGTAACTACAAGTCTGATTTGAACAATTATTTTTGTGTTGGATAGCGCATTTACCGAGGATGGCTATAGGCTATAAAACATCACGCTACGACCATTAGGAGCTGAGCTTAGCGCGTGGAACCGCGCGGAAGTAGCTAGTTATACATATTATTGACTGCACGGTTTTTTAAGGGCAGAAAATCATCGAACGAGATCTCTCGTCTTAGTGTCAGACTCTTACTGACTAAAAACCACCCCGTTCCTACTTCTGGCCTTCGAGCCGGAGCCCCGGTAACCCGTTAAGTCCTCCGCTCCGTATCGGCATCAGCTCTATTGGGCCCATCTGTGGTGGTCTAATGGCTCTTTGAGACGCGCGCGGAACTCGACGCGCCGTACGCTCGGGTCTGTTTCTGGTCGGACGGGGAGCCACCCATGCTCGCCGTCCACAGGCCCGTCCCGTGCTTACGGTGGCCAGAAATCGTCCCGCGACCCCCAACGCCCGGAGTGTCCTTCGCGACGGCTGGGTGCGCTTTGCTGTTTCGATTCCCGCACGGAGCAACTCTTTGTGTGATCCACAGATTGTTGTTCCGGGTCTGGGCGTCATGTGTATGTGAACTTGTATGTTTGTAAACGCACGCACGACACAGGAGAAAATCCTAGAATGGGGCAACGTTTAAAAAAAATGCAAAGAAGATAATTTTATATCTACAGAACCCATAACAACATTTCTAAAATGATATTACCATTAAAATCTAAACCTACAGGTACTTACATAGAATTTCATACAAAAATTGCACAATGCAATTTTTTGCGATAAACCGCAATTTATTATTATAATTATGTTACCTGTGCTGGTGCTCGATCAGCTGATGGGAAAAATGGCGGACGCACACTCGATCAGCTGAGCCCATTGTGACGTGACGCCATAATTTTCGTGAAATTTTTTAATATATAGATAGATAGAGATATCCTTTTGAGTTAAAATTCATTTAAGTACTATAAAATAGAAGTGCGCTTATATACTTTAATAAAAATTAAAATAGATTTTTTATAGATTGCATGTTTTGGCGCAATGGTGGGATAAAAAGGCGTGATTTTATATGTTACTTAAATAAATTGCAATAGGAGTCAGTGTATGGCCATTTACAAATACTTCGGTTGAACTTGAAACCGACTGCTCGATAGCCGCTCTTATAACCACTTGACCGCTAAAGCAGTTGGATAATCATAAAAATAATAAACGTACCTCATTTTTGATACCGTTAACTACTATCCATATTTTAACTTTAATTACCTATATTTATTATCTGTACTAATTTGAAGATAACCAATAATCTAATACAAAATCAATGTAAAAAAATGACAATAACAAGATAGCAATACAAGTTTTTTAATCCCCAAAGAGGTAGACAGAGGTACACATACACACACACTTCACTACATAGTATAAAACAAAGTCGCTATCCGCCGTCTGTCTGTCCCTATGTATGCTTTGATTTTTAAAACTACGCAACCGATTTTGATGCGGTTTTTTTTAATAGATAGAGTGATTCTTAACCCTTTGAGTACCGTCATTATAGACACAATTAAAGAACAATAGGTTGCGGTCACCGGTGTCCTTTTTTTTTTTAATTGCATAAGCCGCTAAACGAGCAGACGGATCACCTGATGGTAAGCAATCAGCGTCGCCCATGGACACCTGGAACACCAGAGGCGTTACAAGTGCGTCACCGGCTTTTTCGGGATTAGGAGTTTGAGGATCGTTGGGGATTCAGGGATTGGGGAGATTGGGGAAGGGGAAGGTAATTGGGCCTCCGGTAACCTCACTCACATGACGAAACACAACGCAATTGGTACTTTATAACCTATTTGCAGAAATAAATACCATTTCATTTTAATAGGCAATGAATGAGTTAACATCTACAACAGTATTAGTAAATTAAAACTTATACCATTCATTTTAAAGTTTCATTTGCTGTGTAAGTACACAAAACAATATGTGTAAAATTAATTCGTTATTTAAATTCGTAAAACAAACCACATTTTATATAGGTATACTTCTAGTTTAAATAAAAACCAACTCCACTACACGTAACTTTAAGTTGAATTTCGAACAATAAAATAAACAAAAGACATAGAACCATTCCAGTTACAGTGCACATTACACCTTAGTACATAAGCTATAAAGTTTATATTTCTAAACCACATAAATATACCCTTGAAAACCTAAGCAAGTATGTGTGTAATGTATAATTATCATTTAATTTATCTTTAACCCAGTTATAAATAAAGTTAACAATGAAATGATTCCCATTGTTTTTTAAGTGTGGGAGAGCCATGCTTCGGCACGAATGGGTCGGGTCGACCGGAGTGATACCACGGCCGAGCAGAAAACCAACGTGAAGAAACGCTTGCATTGTGTTTCGTCGTGTGAGTGAGGTTATCGGAGGCCCAATTACCCCCTCCTCTTCCCCAATCCCTGAATCCCCAACTATCCTCAAACTCCTAATCCCCAAAAGGCTGGTCTGGTTATGCACTTGTAACGCCTCTGTTGTTCCGAAGAAGTAGACCTTAAGTATAGTACTGTCACAAAAGATCTTTGTAAAATGACAGATATGGCACGATATATGCACAGCTTAAAATAGGGTAGATGCCTAATTTTTATTTCAATGTCAGTCTGGTAGATTATTTTAAATTCTTATCTGCAGCATATGAAATATATTAGAAAACACATTGTGTCTCACATATATCCAAGTTCCGGGTATACCACGGGCTAAATCATTAGTCACATATGTTTTATTTTCTTACAGAAATGAACACTTCCCTTGTTTTGAAATGTCGCGTGATGTCACTTCTATATACATTTTAGAAATGATGTTTTAGCTCCCACTCCTAAACTTTGATTCATTTTATCTAAATAAGTATTATTTTATTATACAATGTGTGTGTCTAATATTTTTTCATTACCTAACTTATGGACTAATTAGATTTTTAATTTTTATACCCCGTCATCATCCCTATTGAATAGCCTTTCAGTATTCAGACGTAAGACGCTGTTTGCTTAACCAAAAGATTTCATCGAACAAATTATAGTTAGGTAAGTACATCAAACTATCTGTAACGACAACCAGACAAAATTAAATTTAACAATTTTATAATCGGCTCAGCATTTATAGTCATGCAAACTAAATGTGTATACAAAATTTCAGCTCAATCGGTTGAACATATCTGCTTCAAAATTCAGTTGCAAGATTTCACTTCACACACCCACACATACATTGCAAGTTAATTAAAAGCTTGTAAAAAGGGGGAGGCCTATGACCACCAATGGGAGAACTGGAGCTTAAAGATGATGATGCTCCTTTATATTAATTGTTTAGTAATTGCCAAGTAGACAACTTCACAACCGATTGTTTTGACCAATCACCTGGCTGTAATCTAATACACATTTTCCACTAAAATTTCTTATTGGAACTTCTTAAACTTCCACCTACGTACTATACAGACTCGCTCCTACACATTCACCTTTAGAACACAGTATGAATCACGTATGTTAACGCAATTGTAAACGAAATGTGGCAAGAGTGTAAACATTGAAAATACCATACACGAAAGAGGTTATAATCACTAAACCCCCTTTTATTTCAGTTAGATACCAATTAGAATGTTCTCGTTAATATTTAGAGCATAAATTAACGCTACTTACCGGGCACTGCGCTGCCAGTTTGACCCATTTTTCGAATAACTTCACCGATCCTTTCCGACTGCAATTATCACAGATTATTCTTTATTTAATGTCCTTTTAACACATTAAGGACTTGAAATGTCTCACAACACTCACAAACTTGAACTATGAACCTCATGCACGCATGTTTACTATATTTATTTTAATTCAAACACGACTTTTTGAATTCGATTCGTCGCATCTGGTTGTTTTTTGTGGAAATTCGCATTACTTACGTCTAGAGTTCCTTTAGGATTTACTTATAAAGTTTTATTATTAATATTGCACTAGTTATAATAGCATTATTGCGTTTTTATTCTAATATTTTTTTATTTAATTATCATTTACAGGGCACTGTGTCTGTCCACTTTGACAAGTAAGAAGTTGCGATTTTATTCATCGTTCGGATTCTAATTAGAATTACGTCATGTGCAAAAATATTTTTTGCAACAACTATGTTTTAAATCAGTTAAGGTGTTATTTTATTGTAATAATAGCATTTAATTTATTCATGGCGAATGTGGTCGAAATAAATCAGTTATTAAATAATATTTCGTTAGAAATAAAAAGTGCGAAAATTGGATGTGTATCCGATTTCAATAAATGTCATGTCAATGTCCCGTTTTATAACTGTTTCCATTGTGCTTAGAATTTTAAAAAGTTCGGTTTTTAATTGTTTCTATAATTTACTAGAGTTAAAGCAGATGATTATGATTAAAATTTGTCAACTGCTAAATTACTTTTACACGTCATTAATTCACTACTTTCACAATACAATAAAAACCGTTAACCGTAAAATTGTATTAAGTGGTTCCTGCCATTTATGGGTTAAGTTTACAAAACTGGCAACATTAAAAAAAACAAATTTGAAAAACTTCGTTGGAAGATGGTGCGCTGTTGATTGTTTGTTTTGAAATAATTTTTATTTAGAAAGTGAAAATGTCGCACAGTAACATGATAAATGAGAAGAAAAAGGCATTATTAGCTTACAAAGAGAAGATTCAAGATGAGATAAAGTACTACGAGAAGACTATAGATGAGTTTCGTGTCAATTACAAAAATAACAGTTTTTACGATGATTCTGACAGGTAAGCGTGTAAATAAATTGATAAATAGTATGTAAAATACACAAATGTGTAGTGTTTTACACGTTTGATTTAATTAATTAAGTAGTAGAATCGTAAAAGCAATATTATGTCCAATCTACTATAAGTTACTAAGATTTCAATTTTCAACACTACATGAGTGGCTGTTTATATTAATTTACAAAGCTATTGTTGCTCGACTATAAATTAACCAAACGTTTCATTGCCAGAAACCTTACAATAAGAAAATCGACAAAAAAAAGAATTTATTATCCAAATTCACTACAAAACTTCGACAGTTACGTCAGAAACATAGTTACATTTTTAACTGGCTTTTCATTACAGTTCAGATTCCGAAGAAGAATTCCCCTTTGCAGTCGACACGGGTCCTTCACTCAGTGAGCTAAAACTGAAACAGGCGTTATTGAAAACATGTCTTCATGCGACACAAGAACTAACCAGTTTGACTGTCCTGCAGTCTGAAGTAGAATTGCTGGTTGATGAGCCTAAGATTGAAGGGTAAATATGGAACTAGTTTTTTGAACGTCGGCCCATCATATATATATATGTGTAAGAAAAAGAATATAAGAAGGAACAAAACCCATACCTACCTATAATATACTTTAATATGTAATTTTATATGTTTTTAACCAACTTCTAAAAAAGACTGCCTCGTTGGGTGAATGGTCGCAAGTGTGACTGCCAGGCAAGGGGTCAAGGGTTCGATTACCGGGTCGGGCAAAGTATTACAGGGTTTTTTCAAAAAATATCAGTAGTAGCACGGAGTCTAGAATTGTGCCCGTTATATGTGCCAGATAAATTTGAATCAACAATGTAATTTGTATAAACTATCTGTCGCATAAGTCTATCGGGTACTTATATGGAGGTGGTGAAACTGGTGCTAAATGTAACATCCACTTTTAGGCCATTAAATTGCCATGTTTCTTAAAAACACCTATACTAAGCTAATAAAATAATAAAAATGTTAGTCTCATAGTCAATCAGGGTTAATTCTCGGACCAGTATGGGTCTGGTAACATGAGAAACAATGAGGGTATTTAAAACAAAACTACATTTTCTTGAGGCATCCAAACACTCCCCAAAAGAACTTGCAAAACCGATGCTCACTGTGAACAGGCTGAAGCAGAGCAAAATTCTTTAGAAAGACAGAAGGGACCAAAGACAGATGGTTCCTTCGCCTAATTGCTATAACATTTGAACTTATAGCTTACCATCAGGTGGACTGTGTGGTTTTTTTCCAGCATTGTGGTATAAAAAAAAAGGATGTGCTGTGATCTGACGATCATGTCTGAAGCTAAATTAGGGCCTCGCTATAGTAACCCATAATGTAGATGTAATTTAACAACTTCTATGTTATGATTACAGCGAGTCACCAATAACGGAGCCTGGTGTATGGAAGGAGGTGACAGCGGAGTGCAATATAGACCTCGTCCCATTCACCATAACATTCTACATGCATACTCCTGTAAGTATACTGTAATATCAGTCCTATAATTTTGCTTCATGCTTATTAGATATAAGGATTTAAATATAAAAGGGCATTTACTAATATTGGTGCCTTTCTTTTTTTTTGGCGGCAGTAGATGATTTATGCAAAATATTATATAGAATGGCATTACAAACGAAATTGTCTATGGGCTCATATATGGAAATCTCAGTCTGGACTGAGTTATGATTGTTGAAAGGAGCTAGAGTCAAACATTTTACTTTGATTTTTTTATTTAAATTATTCATATTTTTGTCCATATTGCCAGGCACTAATTTTTATTAGCTATTTCCTCTCAGTCGATAACTTGTGGGATGCTTCTAGGAGTTGTGTCATGAAGCTTCATGAGTGTCAGCTGTGATACCAGTGGTGGGTTGAGTAGTGGTAGCCGTCCAAACATCTAGTAAAGTATTTTTTTTTTGTCGTTTACTCCTGGTGGGCGATTCATCTACGTTATAGTTAGCATAATCTTTTGAAGAAAGGAAACTGTCGACTTTGTAAAGTGATGGACTATATATCAGATGAGCGCATAATTTTTTCATATACATCACCCGAAATATAATCCATCACTTGACTGAATGACGATATCTTTGTACAGAATCTTATGCTAGCTGTAGATTTGTATTAACTGTAGTTAGATTAGTTACTAATCGGAAGTAAGTCGGGAGAAGTAGACAGAAAAATGATATTTTCGTGTTTTGACGACTGCCGCTACTCAATCCGCTACCGACGCCGCAGCTGACAAACATAGCATTTCATGATAGGGCTCAGTAAAATATTTTGCGGGTTTTCGACTGAGAGGAAATTGATCATGAAAATCTGTCATAGGCCATAAACTGTATACATATAAAGTGAACACGCTAGCCAATCAAGCGAAATGTTTTTTTACTTCAGCAGTGGTCAGTTAATCGTCCACTCAGTTTTGTGGCTTTAGAAAATTAAAAATCTAATTAGTCCGTCAGTTAAATAATGAAAAAATATTAGACACGTATTTTTTTATTTTGTCGTATAAAGTTACAATACTTAAATAAAATGGCGTTAAGTTTAGGAGTGGGAGGTAGTTACGTCACAGCGTGGTACATTTTGTTGCACGCTGTGACGTCACGTGACATTTCAAATCAATATATCGTCAAAAGCATTTAATTTTGTAAGAAAACAAAAAAATACGTGTCTAAAGTTTTAAAATAATCTACCGGACGGACATTAAAGTAAAATTTAGGAAACTACCATAACATAACATCACGCCTTTTATCCCCGAAGGGGTAGGCAGAGGTGCTCATTACGGCACTTAATGCCACTGTACAACGTAACACCCACTTTTCACTATTTATGTTATGAGTCCCATGTAATAGGGGGTGAACCTATTGCCATATACCGGGCACAATTCCAGACTCCGTGCTACCACTGAGATTTTTTTTTTAAAAACCCCTGTAGTACTTTGCCCGACCCGGGAATCGAACCCGAGACCCCTTGCCCGGCAGTCGCACTTGCGACCACTCGGCCAACGAGTCAGAAACTACCATATTATTCCTAAATCTTTATTAATATCATTTCAGACCTACAAATTCGCTCCAACTTCATACCGTGGTCTCCGAGTGGTACCAGTGAAGGGTTCCCACGAGCTGGAGCTGTCCAAGTCTGTGCTGCACAGTTTGAAGCTGCCCAGTGATGCTGTGGAGGTGAGGATATACATCAACAAGAGATATAGATATTAAGGTCGCCTTATGTGCCATAATAAAATTTTGTACATAAAAGAATAAATAAATATTCAGGTCCCACACTTTGTCAAACTTAGTGTAGGACCGGAGTCACCTTTCATCTAGCCGGGTAGTGATAATATTTTTGTTCTTTTAAGTGAGTGTATTAAAAGAAACTGACGTTGATGGTAAGCAAATATTAATTTAAGGGTGAAAATCATCAATCAAATTTAATCAAATCAATCAATCAATGACTTCTCCCGCCTGGGTGAGGCGGGAGGAAGTGTCAGACTCTTACTGACTAAAAACCACCCCGTTCCTTCTGCGCTTCGAGCCGGAGCCCCGGTAGCTCGTTAGGTTCTCCGCGACAAGATGGGGGATTGGATCCAGTAACACCATTCACACTGAAATAAAACTTGCACTTTATTTGTTTTTTAAAAAACGTTGTCCCACACAAGGATTGTCTCCTGTGTCGTGGGTGCGTTTACAAACACACAAGTTCACATACACATGACACCCAGACCCGAAACAACAATCTGTGGATCACACAAAGAGTTGAATCCGCGACACGTTGGAGGGCAGTGAGTCAGTTGCCTGCACGCTGTTGAAATCAAAATAAGAGGACCTTGATTATTATAAAATGACGAAATATTGTACCTTATTTATGCAAATAAATAATTATTATACCCCCAAAAGATGCCCAATTACAACCAACCCCCCACACCCTCCCCAATCCTTGAATCCCCAACGATCCTAATATTCCTAATCCCCAAAAATCCGGTAACGCACTTGTAACTGGTGTTCCAGGTGTCCACGGGCGACGCCGATTGCTTACCATCAAGTCATCCGTCTGCTCGTTTACCGGCTTATGCCATAAAAAAAATTACATTTGCGCCAGTCCATTGGTGTTAAGTTATGGCTCTTCTACGTGAAAAACATGTAGTCTGCCCCATAACAGGCTTACTCTTGAATCCAATTCTGATCGATCGACATTGGTATTGTGAAATTTCGTACTCTTGAGTTGCAACACTAGCGCTGATTACATCCGTATTGCGTGGATATTGAATGAACTAAATGGTATTGAGTTTGGCTTTATATTCCGTACTCTGAATGCTATTGTAACAGCTACGATTGTGGTTGTATAGTGTTGACATTGTATAATTTTTGAGATTTTATTGATTTGAAATTACATTGACATTGGTTTCAAGAGTACGCACACAGGAGTGGGCTGCGCGACATCGCCGCGACCGCGCACGCTGCTCATGAAGAAGAACCCCTCTGTGGCTCGAAACTAGTAGAGCTTTTCTCAGTATATTACACGCGATATTTAGTTAATTAACAGGAGTGTTGTTCCAGGTCCTACGTAGTTACGCTGATGGGTACCGCTCCAGGCGAACGACACTCGCCCGCTTGGCCAATAAATACTCTAACTCACTCTTTATGGAGCCACATGTAAGTTATCACACTATTATTATAATAATTATGAAAGTTTTTTTATTTGTGTATGTTTGTCCGTCAATCGCGCTGAAAGTACTGAACGTATTTTGATGATATCATAAACTATTATATAAAGCGGAAGAGTTTGTTTTTTTGTTTGAACGCGCTAATCTCCGTAACTACAAGTATGATTTGAATAATTCTTTTTGTGTTGGATAGCGCATTTATCGAGGATGGCTATAGGCTGTAAAACATCACGCTACGACTAATAGGAGCTAAGCAGAGCGTGTGAAACCGCACGGAAGTTGCTAGTTCGGAATACAGACAGTGTATTTGTTGACAAAGATTAAAAGATACTTTTGATTACAAGTTTACTTTCGTTTCTTACCTTTGGTAAGAACCTCTGGTAACCTCACTCACACGACGAAACACAACGCAAGCGTTGCTTCACGGTTTTCAGCTCGGCCGTGGTATCACTCCGGTCGAGTCGGCCCATTCGTGCCGAAGCATGGTTCTCCCACACTTAAAAAAATCACAGATCAAGTAAGTATATTATGGTCAATGCTCAATTTTCAGCCTGAAGGCGGTTTTATCCTGAAATGCGCTGGTCTGCTAGAAGTATCTTGGAGGCTGGAGAACAAATGGTCGCCTGTCGCACCATTCCATCATAAGATGAAGTTTGATCTGGAGTATATGGGTGAGTTGTTATGTAAAGTATTGATAGTCAAAGTCAAAGCCTTCCACACCTAGGGTTGCAATTATCTTGATTAGTTTATAGTAAATTAATGTAACAGTGAAATTGCCAATAAATAAATAATCATCAAGAACACCGGGGCTATAATTTCACAACCAGCAACCCTACAATTTGAAATTATTTTGATTTTTTTTTTATTACGTTGCCCCACATTAGGATTTTCTCCTGTGTCGTGGGTGCATTTACAAACATACAAGTTCACATACACAATGACACCCAGACCCGAAACAACAATTTGTGGATCACACAAAGTGTTGTTCCGTGCGGGAATCGAACCCGCGACACGTTGTACGGCAGCCGGTTGCCCAACCACCGCACCAACCGTGCAGTCACCACTAATTTGAAATGACCACTACTGCAGAACGTCAATTTCATAGGTCAAGACATAATATGATTGTTTATTTAGTTACAACTGGTAATTTGAGCTTCGCAGTTTTGTGTATTATCTTGTGTTAATTGGAAACTTATTCAGTTATTTCACTTTATTATTTCAGAGGAATCGTACATAAAAATAATAACACAAGCTCACAAACAACTGCTAGATCCATCAATACAGACGGACGAACGAACTTTATTACTAGCTAAAATTATCGCAACATGTCTTGAAGCAAGAGGTCCGATAGTCGACTCCGATCTTGAATCTAAAACGACAGAAAGAGATAACGATATGGAAAAACGAGACAGCGAAGTTATGGCACCACCTAAGTCTTTACCTAAAAAAGGCAAACAGAAAGTCAAAGATAATAATGCTGTTAAAAGGAATATAGGTAATGAAGACAAAGATTCTTTAGCTAAAAAGATGAAAAGTGATAACCATGTAGATGAATCAAAGAAAATTTCTATTGATAATGCTAAGAAAGCTAAAGTTAGTGATACAGGTAATGAAGGAAGTAAGAAGCGTAAAATAAATGATCCTAGTAAAGATGGTGGTGCTAAAACTGATGCCGATGATCATCTAAATGTTGACGATGGTGGAAAAAAGAGAAAAGTCAATGATGATCAAGCTTTGAATGCTAAAAATGGTAAAGAGAGTGTAGGTAATAAAGAAACTAACTTCAAAACTAAGATTGTTAAAGACACTGATGTTAATAATGCGAAAAGTAATGTTATAGATACTAAAAATATTAATGTTAATGTTAAAAATAATAAAAACGCGAAAGATTTAGAAAAAACTGACGCTAAAGCTAAAAATGTTAAAGATTCTGCTGCTGACACTAAAAATACAAATAGTGCTAAAAATAAAAATGTAAAAGATTCAGTAAATGTTGAAGATAATTTGAAAACTAAAGCTGTCAAGGAAACTGACGGTAGTAAGGCTAAAAATAATAATGATAAAGCTAAAAACACAAAACTTAAAGATAATGAAAATAAAGTAGTCGATAATGCTAAGAAAAATAGTGTTAATGAGAAATCTGATAGTAATAAACAAAAAACTACAAATGTTAATATTAAAAATAAAAACACAAAAGATTCTGATAATAAAGTAGAAAATCCAAAAAATATCGTTAATGAAGGTAAAGAAGCTAATACTAAAACGAAATCTAAAAATGTCAATGAAGGCACAGCTGCTATTGAGAGTAATCCTAACCCGAAAGCCAAAAATAACAAAGAAATTAAAACCACAGAAGAAAAAACTGCAAATAAAAAAGTTAAAAATCAAAATGTCAAAGATGCAGATAATGATAAACCAAAAAAAGATAATGTAACAAAAGCTAAACAGACTATTAATGAAGTTGAAGTTAAAAAAAACTTCAAAACTAAAACAGGTTCGAAAACTGACGAAAAACAAGAAATAAATAAAAATTCCGACAATATTGACAAGAAAAAACTTAAAAATGTTACTGACGTTAAGAATAAAGAGAATGTCAATACAAACAGAAACACTGCTAACAATACTGAAGCTATAAATCCAAAAAACGGTGAAAAAATTACAAAAAACGACATGAAAACTACGAAAAACGCTGAAAAATCATCAAAAACCGACTTAAAAGATAAGAATAATGACGTACAAGATAAAAAACTAAAAAATTCTAATCAAATCAAAAATAATATACAGAAAACTACATCTACAGCTGAAAAAATTAACAAAGGCATTTCAAAGACCACAGAGAAACCGCACAAAGCTGAAAAAATTACTTCAAAAACAAAAATGAACAATGTCTTAACCGTTACTGAGAAAAATGCAACAAATTTCATTACTAAAGACAGAATTTCGCATATCAAAGATGTAGTTACCGAAAAATCTACAAACAAGATTATAAAGAAAACTATTACAGCAACGAATCCTATTAAAAATAAAAGCACTTTTACAAATAACAAAATAACAAAACCGCCTTTAGCATCGCACAGGCAAAGTTTAAAAAAATCCTTACCTAATGGCAACACTATAGTTTCAAAAGCTAGCAACACAGAAGCTGGGAAAATCTCTAAAATACCTCAGAAAAAATTTTCGCCGTTAAGCGATGGATCATCAAAGAAAAATAATATGTTAAGAATCAGCCCAAGTAAGTGATATTTTTACTATTATCAACTTAACCAATACAATGAGGTAGATGCCTAATTTTTATTTTAATGTCCGTCTGGTAGATTATTTCAAATCATTAGACACGTATTTTTTATTATCTGACAGAAACGAATACTTTCGACGATATATTGATTTGAAAGGTCGCGTGACGTCACTTCTATGTACATTTTATACGTAGAAATGACGTTTTAGCCCCCACTCCTAAACTTTGATTCGTTATATCTAAGTATTGTTTTATTATACGATAAGATAAAAAAATACGTGTCTAATATTTTTTCATTACCTAATTTATGGACTAATTAGATTTTTAATTTTCATACCTAGTCATCATCCCAATTGTATGAAACTGAGTTATATATTCTGTTACGAAGTACCCAGAACCTACCACAGGCGTACAGTACGCGCTGGCACAGTTTGCACTACCATAATGCCGAACTAACTCTGGTTTGCATTCCCCTATCTATTGAACGGTTCACTCGTACAATGAATTCTTTGAAGATATTGATAGTTTCAATTGTCCGCTGGGTAAATTCAAGCTACTTATTCACAATTTTCTTTTATAATATATAAAATTTATGGCCCCTAATGATTAATTAATTAATAGAGACTCAAACGTTAGTCTCAGTAGTGAATGCAGTAATTTGTACTGAGTAACGACGGATAATCTTAGATAGAGAGCGCCCTAGGCGAGAACCTCATAGATGCCCCGATATCATTTTTGTCCCCGCCCTCACTCTATGTGCAGTTGTACACGCGCGTTTCGCGGCGCCCCTCTGTAACCTGGCGCCCGGCACTTGTCTAGTTTGTCTCTAAGTTAAAGTCAAAATCATTTATTTCAATTAGACCAGGAAGGCACTTTTGAACGTCAACAACAAAAATTTAGAAGGGAAGCTAGTTGCTCATTCCAAGGTGTAGATTCCTATGTAGAAGAACGAGTAAGAAACTCCGTAGGTTACTCTTTTTTTTAATCAGGTTTACAATACAATTCTCTTGTACATAGTTTTGTTGGTACGATTGTGTGAGAACAATGCAGTTTGATTGCAGTTCTATTGTAGTCATGACCAAATGGTTGCAAACCAAACCTGCAGTCCGATTGCAGTTCTATTGCAGTCATGACCAAACGGTTGCAAACCAAACGAGCAGTCCGATTGCAGTTCTATTGCAGTCATGACCAAACGGTTGCAAACTAAAAGTGCAGTCCGATTGCAGTTCTATTGCAGTCATGACCAAGCGATTGCCAACAAAACGAGCAGTCCGATTGCACTTCTATTGCAGTCATGACCAAACTGTTGCAAACCAAACGAGCAGTCCGATTGCAGTTCTATTGCAGTCATGACCAAACGGTTGCAAACTAAAAGTGCAGTCCGATTGCAGTTCTATTGCAGTCATGACCAAGCGATTGCCAACAAAACGAGCAGTCCGATTGCACTTCTATTGCAGTCATGACCAAACTGTTGCAAACCGTACGTGTAATCCGATTGCAGTCGTGTCAACTGTGTTATAACGGCATCAAAAATGCAATTTGCAGTTGGATTGCTCTTGATTCTATTGATTCTACCTTAGGGATAATACGGATCTGGTACTGAGAATGACGATGACGTCATAATAATATTTGTTCTTATTTTTACAGGAATAAATCCATTAAAACTCAAGATGTTACCACAAGATGTCAAACAAAAGATGATGAAAACTACTAATATACCAAGTAAGTATAATTTATTGTAGACTAGCTTTTGCCAGCGGCTTGATCCGCGTGCTCGTGGGATGTAAAGACCATGATCTACCCCTGTTCTAAATTTCATTTCGATCTCTTCGTTTTGTAGCGAGTTTCACTGTCCAGTGACACACGTACGCTGGTATCGTCATGAGCTAATGTTGGCATGTAAACAGTGACTCGTGTAGTGTAGATTGTCCAGTCAACTGATGGTAGCGAGGTTCATGACACACGTACGCTGGTATCGTCATGAGCTAATGTTGACATGTAAACAGTGACTCGTGTAGTGTAGATTGTCCAGTCAACTGATGGTAGCGAGGTTCACGGTCCAGTGACACACGTACGCTGGTATCGTCATGAGCTAATGTTGACATGTAAACAGCGACTCGTGTAGTGTAGATTGTCCAGTCAACTGATGGTAGCGAGGTTCACTGTCCAGTGACACACGTACGCTGGTATCGTCATGAGCTAATGTCGACATGTAAACAGTGACTCGTGTAGTGTAGATGTCCAGTCAACTGATGGTAGCGAGGTTCACTGTCCAGTGACACACGTACGCTGGTATCGTCATGAGCTAATGTTGACATGTAAACAGTGACTCGTGTAGTGTAGATGTCCAGTCAACTGATGGTAGCGAGGTTCACTGTCCAGTGACACGTATGCTGGTATCGTCATGAGCTAATGTTGACATGTAAACAGTGACTCGTGTAGTGTAGAGATTGTCCACTCAACTGATGGTAGCGAGGTTCACTGTCCAGTGACACGTACGCTGGTATCGTCATGAGCTAATGTTGACATGTAAACAGTGACTCGTGTAGTGTAGAGATTGTCCAGTCGACTCAGTGTAGCGAGGTTCACTGTCCAGTGACACGTACGCTGGTATCGTCATGAGCTAATGTTGACATGTAAACAGTGACTCGTGTAGTGTAGATGTCCAGTCAACTGATGGTAGCGAGGTTCACTGTCCAGTGACACGTACGCTGGTATCGTCATGAGCTAATGTTGATATTTTGTTGCAGGATTTTTGAAGAAACCGGCGCCAAAAGTGTAGGTGTATAATATCAATTTTACAACAATGTGCGTTTAATGAATTGTATTATAAGTTAATGATTTGTGTAAAATAAAACTAAGTTTTCTTAATATTAAAATGCTTTTATTCATTATTCTATATTTATACAGCAAGATTATAATATTATTAATATCTTATATTCTATCGCCTCGTTTTCGTTTTAAGGTCTAAATTGGAATCTACAAAAGTATATCAAAAAGCGTGTCCTAATAAGGAATAAATCAAAATAATACAATATTCGTATAAAAACATTAAGATGACGCGGTTAAAATTGTAAAAAAAAAAATGTGTTTCTAAAATATCAAATAGTAAATCTAATTTTGAATGTCAAAATTCATTTATCAATAAATAGATGAAGTTTATGCGAATTCTTCGCAAAAAATATTATGTTAAAAAAATTAATCGATTTTATAATCGAATGATTATTATTAAAGCAGTACAATAATGTGATGAAAAACATATTAATGATGTCTTAGTAAGTTGCATTTAAACGCCAAACTCTATTATGATAGAGGCTGGTAAACGAGCAGACGGATCACCTGATGGTAAGCAATCGGCGTTGCCCATGGACACACCAGAGGAGTTACAAGTTCGTTACCGGTCTTAGGGGCTTAGGAATTTGGGGATTTTGGGATTAGGGAAAGGGGGTAATTGGGTCTCCGGTAATCTCACTCACACGACGAAATAACGCAAGCACTATGTCACGGCATACTGTGAGGTCGGCCGACCACGATGGTCGTGGATCACCCCAGCCGGGCCAACACAGCAGTGCCGAAGCATGGAGAGATCACTAGTTAGACGCGTCATGCAAAAACGATGATAAGCAACCGTACTCAGAAACATTTAATAATTACTTAAAACTATTCCTTGTAGAGATTTTGATCCGAAAAAAATCGCTAAGAACTGGATTAATAGTGTCGTGGTCCGTGGTGTCCCGGAGGTATAAGACGCTCGCTTCTAACACATGATGCATATCAATATGACGTTTTCCGAATTATAAGTACATACTTTCAAAGATAATTTAGACACCACTGACAAACGGTAAAGGGAAACATCGTGAGGAAACCAGGACTTATAATTACTAATTATAAGTTTGAGATCGCCAAACTGCATTGAGCTAGCGTGGTGATGAATGCTCAAACCTTCTCCGTATGAGAGGCCTTTGGTCAGCAGTGGGCACATAGGCTGATAATGTAATGTGTTAAGTTATCATTAAATGACTGAGTACAGTTGGAAAGAGATGTAGAAATCATCATTAACAGTTTTCTCATCACCTTTGATATAACTGATGTTCTATTCAAGGTCAACCAAGTCATTTGTATGCAGGTAAGAAAATAAAGATTGATTCAGTACAGAGACAGTAGCCATTGGTTGACTATCTGTGCCCAAAAGATGGCCGTTAAAAAGCATAGCAATTTAATATAACAATGGCGACTGTCTACTGAATCAATTTTTATTTTCTTATCTGAGGCTATAGCCAAATGCCATTTAGCGCTTGTCTACATGTAGAATAGAAAACCAAATTGTAGGGAATTGACGTAAAATTTGACACTTGTCAGTGTCATGCCCACACATTTAGTTTTCTACTCTCTCTGTAGACAAGCGCTAAAGTGGCGTTTGGCTAAAGGCACTGCATACTTATTGACTTATAGCTGGCTTATCATTCATGTTATATTTTATGCATATATTCAACTTATATCTAGTTTTTATTTAACATGTCATTACTATTGAATTATGGTCGGATTTAATACAGTTTTTGATTAAATTATTGTTATTATAAAAATTGGTTGGTCATAATTTTTGACGCTAAATATAATTCGTTTATTAAAACGGCTCCAGGAATGGATAGTTTTTGTGTGTCTCGCCCATTCTGAAAATGTAAAAAAGCTGTGTTAATTAATGTACCTACATAATTTACATACAGAGAAAAGTGAGCGATTACAGTTATTTTTTCTTTTAAAAAATTGACAGTTATAGTTATGACGTCAGTAAACTATTTGTCAATTTGGTAGTTTCCTTAATCAAAAATAAATTATTTCGACTGTTCAATACAATAAAATATTAAATAATAATCACACTTTCATGAATTGATTTTTTGACCAACTTAATTTTAGTATTTTTTCAGCATTTTTTTAAGAAATGAGTACGCTGTTTGAAGAATTAGTAAGATGCGACGGTCTATGATTTAATATGATGGATAGAAAATGCCAACCCAAAATATCACCCCCTATTACATGGGACTCATAACATAAACAGTGAAAAGTGGGTGTTGCATTGTACAGTGGCATAATGTGTACCTCAGCCTATCCCTTCGGGGATAAAAAGCTGTTATATGCTGTAGAAAATACAAAAATTACCCGTTAAAAGTAAAAGTCCTCTTGTTTTTGTTCAAAGCGTGTAGTGCTTCAATTTGTGCTTTGTCCAGGTTAAACGTCAAGGCCTGGAGATTGTCCCATAAGTGGGCGGCACAAGATGCCTTCACCACGACATTATGACCACAGTCGATTTGATATCTGGAAGGAAAGAAAATTAAAAATATTTTGGGACGAATTAAAAAAAATTGTCACCCGTCAATCTAGTGACATTGGTTTAGAATAGGTTATATATCTATACTAATATTATAAAGTTGAAGAGTTTCTTTTTTGTTTGTTTGTTTGAACGCGCTAATCTCCGAAAATACTGGTCCGATATGAAAAAATATTTTTGTGTTGGGTAGCCCATTTATCGAGGAAGGCTATTGGCTATAAAATATTACGCTGTTATTAATAGGCGCCAAGCAGAGCGAGTGAAACCGCGCGGAAGTAGCTAGTTATCTTTATAAGGGCTCGTACACAAAACTGCGATGCGTTGCGAAGAGAATGCAACGCCAAAAATTACGATACGAATAGCTTCGACCATTCTTTCGACCGTCAACCTAAACATATTTTAAGCCTTTGACTGCCGTCAGAAAATTGCTGAAGGCAAATCCTCCGCTAACGTAGGTCACCGGAGACCTACGCGGCGGTTAACGTGTTAAACTGAAAACTAGGTGACACGGATCGTAAAAAGAAGTGTGCACTTCTGTTATTGCTTAGGAGATACAGGAAAAATAAACAGAAGATTTTGGGAAGATAAGATTATGATGCGCGATGCGAATCAATTCGCAAGTTCTTGCGATGCGTAGAGGGAGCTCGCACATTTTTGGGTTGCGACGTCGCATCGCAGTTTTGTGTACGAGCCCTAATTAAACGGCTGAATCCATTTGGCTAATTTTGGTCTTGGAATGTTTGTGGAAGTCCAGGGGAGGATTAATGGGTGAGAAAAAAAATGGTTAGGCGGTACGAAATCTGCCGGGTCAGTTAGGGTTAAATTATTTATTTATTTATTATTTATTTATTAAAACTTTATTGCACATACAGTGAAATTGGCGGACTTAATGCCGAAGCCATTTTCTGACAGTCGACCATTGGGTGGTGCAGAATGTTAAAGCGGTAGGTGCAAAATTGTAAAAAGAAAGTATGAAGTAGATAACGAAGTTAAGGTAATAAAATATTAAAGAGGGAAGACATGATTGTTATAGTCGATAATGCATAACTAAGGGTATAGGGTCTTAAAATGAATTATATAATAAATATATATCCCAAATATGCATACATATAATATGATATAATTACTATACTTATAATACATAGGTACATATATAAATAAATTTAAATTAAAACGTTTTTTAATTTAAATTGGCGTTCTATAGTCTCTGCCTGTGCGGGTCTGCGGACGGCGAGCAAGGGTAGTAGGAACGGGATGGTTTTTAGTCAGTAAGAGTCTGACACTCCCTCTCGCCTCACCCAAAGCGGGAGAAGCCACCGGATGATTCAATCCCTTAAAAAAAACATAGTTTCTGCCTACCCCCATGGGACACAGGCGTAAAATTATGTATGTACGTTAAAAATTTTTGATAGCAAACTTTTATGCAGCTAAGCATTTATGGTCATGCAAACTAAACGTGTATACAAAATTTCAGCTCAATCGGTTGAAGATATCTTCTTCAAAATTTAATCGCAAGATTCCACTTCAAACACACAAACATAACTGAAAATTAAATAAAGGCTTATAAAAATGGTTGCCGTACCTAATCAAAAGCTGTGCAGGACTGACTCCGAGTCCTGACGCCATCACCTTCACCAGAGGGTCATCAATGACGGCAAATGTGGAATTTTTGTACTCCGCCGGTGTGCCCTGGAAACAAAGGCAAGAAAAAGACGTTAAAACGAAGGTAGACATAGTCTCTTGAGACAACTAGTGTGGCACTATCTTTTATTTTCTTTTTTATCTTTTATTTATGCTGCATCGTGCCTAGTGCTGAATAAATGTTCTTAACGTCTAACTTTCTTACTTTCTGTCGGTCTTTCTTTCTTTCTGTCTGTCTTTCTTTCTTTTTGTCTTTCTTTGTTTTTATATTTCTTTCTTTCTGTCTTTCTTTCTTTTATTTATTTCTTTCTTTCTGTCTTTTTTTCCGTTATTTATTTCTTTCTTTTTGTCTTTCTTTGTTTTTATATTTCTTTCTTTCTGTCTTTCTTTCTTTTATTTATTTCTTTCTTTTTGCCTTTCTTTCACCTGGTTAATAGACTTACACGCAGAACATACACACATTGACACGAAGGACATCTGTCATTTTGTTAAGTCTGGTAACGTGGTAACCAATTACACACGCACACATATTTATAATTAGTATAATTAGGCATCCGATAACCTCACGACCAAATCACACAACGCAAGCGTTGTTTCACGTCGGTTTTCTACTTGGCCGTGGCATCACTCCAGTCGAGCCGGCCCATTCGTGCCGAAGCATGGCTCTCCCACACTAATTAGAAAATTTGCAAGCATTTGTCGGTGAGCTTGTCTCTGAAAATCGAAAGAAATACCATAATTGTGTACCTTAGATCCTAGAACGCCATAGCAACTTAGCTGGATGTTCTTTTCTCTGCAGAAGGCATCCAACCGCT